TTTTTTTTTTTTTTTTTTTAGGGCTGCACCTAATGTCATTGATGTACATAGATGGTGTCTTGCTGTCCTACACATTGTTTGCTATTTCTTATTTAGGTTGTCGTTTCCACCAATATTGCTGAGACCTCGTTGACCATTGATGGTGTCGTATTTGTGATTGATCCTGGGTTTGCGAAGCAAAAGGTATGTCAGTCATAACCTTCAGAACTGGAGAAGATTGGTGTTTTGGTTATTACACATATGGGATTTGTAGCTAATTTAAGGGGGTAATTAATAACGTCATCCATTGTTTAGAACAAACCTGTTGGCTGTTACCCTTATCCAAATCTGGCTGCACTTTGGCTCACCTGTTTTCAGTCTCCTTGGATACTAATGGATAATGAGGCTAAGCTGTACATTTTGCTGTCAGTAGGGAACCAATAAGCGTCTCAACCAAAGGTTTAACCAGTAGGAGCATGCAGCAGCCTTCCTTTGCTGGTTTGGTAGGGTTCTGTTCTACAGTTTTACTTGGTAAACTGCACATACACATAATATGTCTACATTTATTCTATTCAGAGATGCCCACTATTTGCTTCAAAATGTGTTTTGAGGAACTCCTATTCAAAGGGATGCAGTGAAGTCATGATATAATATAGCTTTGTCATCTTCAAGAATTGTTAAAATGTAGGTTTGTTAGTAATTTCTGACTGCTGTTTTCTAGGTGTACAACCCTCGTATTAGAGTAGAGTCCCTTCTGGTGACGGCTATCAGCAAGGCTTCAGCACAGCAAAGGGCAGGCCGTGCGGGTCGTACCAGGCCGGGGAAGTGCTTTAGACTTTACACAGAGAAAGCTTACAAAACTGAAATGCAGGTATATGTTTATTTACAAATGTACTCATTGCTGAAAAGAGAAAAAACATTTTTAAACGCTTTAGTCATTTCATTACTTTTACATTCACTGATAACTGTTTTTTTAATGAATATCTTTACAGAATTAACCCCTTCATGACTGAGGCCCTTTTTTCAATTTTTGCACCCATGTTATATTCCACATTTTAGGAAACATTTTACTTTTATAACCTACGTGATGGTTGACTTTAATTTCTTAGAGGCTAGCAGTATCCTCCCTGAAGGAATTACTGGATTATGTAACAGTGCTTCTTAAATGTTTATATATCTCTATTCATCTTTAGGACAACACATACCCTGAAATTTTGAGGTCTAATCTGGGTTCAGTGGTGTTGCAGCTTAAAAAGCTTGGCATTGATGACTTGGTCCACTTTGACTTTATGGATCCTCCAGGTAAGAGGATGTTTTTGCTGTTTACTGTGGATAGGGGAATTAAGTGCTTTACTTAGTTCAGTCCTTAGGACTAAACTAGAGACATTTTAGCTGTGTATGGCTAACTTTTTTTTTTTTTTTTTTTTTATAAGCTCGATATGTGAAAAGATTAACATAATGTGTAATTTTGACAATTACCCTAATTCATTAAAGCTGAACTCTGCGCACAAGCCTTTTCATTCAGATATATATTAAAGCCACTGTGTGTGTATCACATGCCTTTGAAAAAGTAGTAGTAAAATATCGCTGTGCTACACAGCCTGTGCAGAGAGCAGAGCTATGAGATGGACTGAGTGGATCCACCCTTTACAGACTGCCTGCAGAAAACCACAGGAGGGGAGGCAGATATTAGACCAGTTGCACTGCACTAGAAGAGAGAGCACCAGTGACAGGTCTTTATTACACAAACCTTATGCAGAGCGCATGAGTTGTATCATTGTGGATTACTGCACAGATCTGGAAGAAATGCATAAATGACACAAAGATTCAAACAAGAATACACATCACTTTTGAATTATTTTAAACCCTCAGGTTTTTTTATGCATATATCTACTGCTAGCATGCAGATATATGCAAAAACTTTAAACCATTTTCAAAAGGTTTTTTTTAACTTACCCATGTCTTTGTCGCGCGCTCCGAAGAGTCTCTTGCGGCCGCCCGAGACTCAGAGTCT